AGTGTTTGCCTCAATTTGCGATTTTTCTCTCTTAGATTATTGCTTTTTTTAGTATGATTCACAACATTTATATATATATGTAACTCACCAGAATGATTTGTGACCAAGGGTTCATAAAAGCAACCTAACTTGACGTTCACGAGATCAACAATTTCATTATTGTTTCCTTCATCTTGGAACTCAGTGTAGGGGATGTTGGGCAAACATGTATAAGACACATCTTGTGGTTTGCATAGAGGATTCATATTTATCCCAAAAATTATTTCAGAAGACGAGTAACTCATGGAAATGAGAGGCAATTTCTTGGAGTAGAACTCCAGTATTGGGGTATATTAACTCATTTGTCCTGTAATTATAATCTGAATAAATTTGATGTTGGGCCATATCCTTGCAATGATACCTTCCCATGATTTCGGACTGTATTCACGTTCAATCTGATCCGCTAAGGGTCAGTGATCCACTCGCTAATATAACCAGATCGGATATTATTACATAATTCGTTCCAGAGCGTTTCAAGAAATTTGATCGCTTGGACTAGTATAGAAGCAAAAAGAGAAGACATACTCACAACCTCCTCTCCCTGGACAGGAGCACAAAGAAGATGACAGTATACAGTCTGTTTGTTCTCGGCACATAATATGTTTCATCAGGGCTTGTATATTACCAAGCTTGTATATTAACAACCAGTTCTTGAAATTATCACTCATTAACAAGCTTCACTACAAGAAAGATTGGGTTTTACGTCGGCAGATATCGACGTAAAATCGACGTAAAAGAGCATTTATGTCGAATTAACGACGAAAAAAAAATCTTCGTAAAACGATCGTCGTAAAACCGAAATCGTCGTAAAATCGTCGTAAAATTACCAACCCGGAAAAATCGTCGTAATATCATCGGAAACTATTCGTCGTTAAACGCGACGTAAAGTTTCCAACGAAAGTACAACGAAAGAACTCCATCATAAGAACGACGTAAAATCGATGTAAAATTACATCGATTTAACAACGATTAGGAGACGAAAGGAAACTAATTTTTTAATTGTCGATGTTAATTCGTCGTAAAGTTTCGACGTAAATCCGACGTAAACATATTCGACGTAAATTCGTTAATAATTCGACGTTAGATCGACGTAAATTTACGACGAATTTACGTCGATTTATAAATTCATATTCGACGTAAATTCGTCGTTAATAATTCGTCGTTAATATTTTTTCCATAACACTTTTTTTTTTAGTTCAATCTCTGATTTGAAACTTTTGAAAAATATGTGAAAAATAAAGGTGAATATCATAAGATTTTGCAAAATAATACCAAGTTATTGTTGGTCTAACAATCAAGTATTCTAATCAACTCAAAAGTTAGTTATTTGTTTTATTTAGTTTTATCATTTCTATTATTTATGCTAATTTTGTTTTTTCAAATGTATTTTTTTTTTCATCACTGTTAGAGTTAAATTAGTTATTCTAATAATGAAATGCACATTATATAACATTATATTACAATTCTATCTCTACACTGTTATAAAAATGGTTTTATTTTTATATAATAATATAGTACTACCTAATAGTGTGTGTTATTATTTTTTATTTTTTTAAAACCCATCAAAACGACACCGTTTTTAATTTATAATACCAGCTCAGATTTACTGTGCCAATTCGGTTTAACAGAATTGGCTAAAAAAAAGAGTCAATGTATGTTTGGCCAGAAAACATTGTACATATTTTGATATTCAAATATCTTATTATTCGAATCAATTAGTATATCAAAATTGTTTGGATATTAATTAGTACCAGTTATCAAATTTTTTTTTTCTCGTCGTTTAGCATATTGTCTTTTGCATTCTACGTCAACGCTTCTAGATCCTTGAGCTAGGAGCTTAGATTTTTTTTTTTTGTTTTGCTTTGTTGATTTACTTCAAGTCAAGTGACGATTTTATATGTAGGTTCAATATAATAAATTAAATCAACTTGTTTAGAAAAACGTCTCACTCATGCGAGAGAAACGACTTGATATTATTATTATATGGAATAATTATACAAGTCAATGATTGGGAGATCGTGTTAATCGATTTGATCGAAAGCATCTTAAGTTAACAAACACATATTACGCTGGCAAATAATATTAATGTATTTGAAATTTTAAAAACTGAGAAATAAAAACACTATCAATATATATCATCTATATTATGTCTATGTTCTTGTCTTAGTTAAGTTTGAGTTTTTTCCCTTATTTTTCTGTATCAATGTAAGAAAATTAACTAAATTTCATTATGTATTAGGTATCTTCTAAAAATGGGATCACTAGCATTCCCCTTCCGATATCTTCTACGAACTATATAATTCCCGTATACATATATATATATATAATCCTTAATTAAGACTGATTCTAAGGTAATAATGGTGATGGTGATGATGGTTAATGGTCGTGATTAAGTAACCAAAACAGAAAGCTGAGTATAATTTTCATAGATTTTTGTTCACAATTTCTTTACAAATTATGTACTGTATAACCATCAAATAATTGACGTTGAATTAAAAACGATGTTGCTTTAAAGTGTATACTCGTGGAACGGACACCTCTAAATAACTAGACAATTAAGTGTATATTGATTGATACAAAATTTTCAAGATACTTTCAAGAAACCTGTAACAAATTGATCACAATCGATAAATGCATACGATTTCAAAATCATACAACTTTTCATAATATTCAAACAAACAAGACACTGGTACGGTTCATCTAAACTTCATAAAGAAACAAAACACATAAAACGACAGAGATTGGTTCAGAATTGATCATCAAAAGTAGTATAGTATTTACAAAAAGCCATATATTCCCAAAGAGGCAAAATTAACTTAAGATTGTTGAAAAGCATGGAATTAAATAATAATTTAGACCAAAAATAAATGTCTGATTATATGAAATTGAGAAAGGCACACCAAACAACTAAAGAGAGAATACATAGTAGAGTACAAGGTCTGTAAGGATCATTAAATAAAATGATCAAACATTGCTCAAACCACCATCACCATCTTGTTCTTCGAGTTTCTCTCCATCATGAGGAGGAGGCAAAGGAAAGAAATATACTCTAAGAGCATGAAGAGCATAACACATAGACCGTCCATGGAACCCAACGATGGCACAACCTTCTCTTTCAAGCACGAATTCAATTAAGGAGCTGCTAATCTGATTTCCAAATGTTGGAGAGGTCCTCCCTTTGGATGTCTAGAAAGTCAACGATGTAATCATCGTTGATGGGTAAGAATTTGTGGTAGTGCCCTTCACGGATGTGAGAAATTCATTTGGATAGTCCACGACAAACTGCAACGAAAATAGTTTAATATATAACCCACTATTCAAGAACACTTAGATATGTTAGACAAAATTTTGAGTTGTAGGAATCATGACCTCTCCTTCTTGTACCGTGACTGAAGCTTTTGACCCGTGCTCACGGGATTCCACGATGCCACAGTTATGGTACTCGAACCTGACACACCTCATGTAAGAAGCATCATAAGAAGGGCACACCTTTCTTACTCCCTGGTAATAACCATCATCCCAGAGGAAGCTTGATTTACTAGATTGACTCTCGATTTCTAGTTTTACTATAATGACTCTAATCTTTATTAGAAATACCAGAAAACCGTTGTTTAGAGTTGTTATTCACAGTTATGCCATTTTGATTTAATTTTTTAAAAGAAAATGAGTTAATTATACAATCATCAATTCAGGCAAAAAAAAAAAAAAATTCAAAAAAATATGAAAGATTTTTGTTTCCTAATTTTTTTCCAGAAATCATCATTTCTCCTAGAATCTCTCACCCACGATTTTTAAACTTAAAAAACCCAAAAAACTATCATTCTGACCGAGAAACATCTTCTGCACTAGCCGCCATATAGTTGCGATTTCTGTGGCGATTTTGGCAGTCTTCCATCCGGAATTCTGTTTGCATAAAGTTTCCGGTGAAGTAGACGACTTGTTTTTACTATTCCGGTAGTAAATTTAACCCGAATTTCTCACTGTATTTTTTTTTCTCGATTTCGACGGTGTGAAAGATGAAGAGTTCTGGTTTAGTCTGACTGGGTTTCGAAAATCTCCACTATTGCAATTTTCTTCCGACGGCGTTTCGAGGTCTTCACTTGTGCTTCGTTTTTCGGCGGGGTTTTGGTAAATTTTGTCCGATGTAATTGTTTTTTTTTGGCTTATGATTCGCCTTGGTGCCATGATCTAATTTTTTAGGATATTAAATCCAATACACTGATAGAGTTGTTCGATCTATTCGAAAGAGATGATTAAGTTGTTGATGACAAAGTTGTTCAAAATTGAAGAAAAAGTTGTGCGATCTGTTCGATTTAGATTTACTGAATACTTGTTTCAAGAAGAATATCATAATGCCAGATTAGTTAGTCTGATAACACTTACCTTCATAACAAAGTTGTGTCGACTGTTTGGGGAGCTTAATTATGTTTATAATAGAGATGTTGTATATGTGGTGACAAAGTTATTTAGAGATTGAAATAAACTTGTTAGAAGAGACACAGGCATATCAGGTCCAAAGGCATAGACTTGTTGAAATAAACTGGCAATGTTGTTTCGAAGATATGACAAAATTGTTTATGTAAGCCAACAGAGTTGTTGTGTTAGTAATGCCAAACTTGTTTAGGATTTATGATAGATTTGTTCTTCGTTCCAGGTATGGATTCTACCGCAGCGACTAAGATGTATCCACCACGACAATACAAAATGGGAAAAGCACCAATTCAGCAGAGGAGCATGAATTACAACTGCCACTTAGCAAACTTCGGGCAAGTCAAAGATGCAGTTGGCAATGATGTTTGGGCCGACCTGAAGGGATTGGCGATTGGGGTTGTTATTAAGTTCCAAGAAGCCGAATACATATGGTGTGCGAAGCAAGTTCATTACTTCCTAACAAATCAACTGGCTACAAAGAGACCAACGAGATGTGGTGTTTTGTTGGAAATAAACCTATCCGGTTCTAAATGTATGAATATGGAGATATCACCGGCCTAAACATTGACCTTAAGGACACCTGGGATGTTGACCATAAGGAGTTTTTGGGAGAGCTCGGAGTTTCTACAATTGAGGGTCCTTGTTTGAGAGATCTGTTATCGGTGCTGAAGAAATGTTGCCCTTGGACTTTTGAGAAGAGGCGAATGGTTGGATTGCTATGTCTTCTGTCCATTCCAGTGTATGGTATATCTCCTACAAGGAAAATCCCTTTGGCGGCTGCAAAAACGGTTTTGGATAGGGAGAAGTTTGCTGCATATCCTTGGGATCGGATTGGATTTAAGCAGCTGATATATTCTATTAAGTGTGTTACTTATGAAAGCAAGTTGACTTATATTATTCGTGGATGTGTTCACGTGTTACAAATCTGGGCTTGCGAGGCAGTAGTTGGAATAGGCGAGATTGCTGGTCAAACAAAAGAAGGGAAGAGGTTCCTCTTATTGCATGGGGTGGATCGAGAATGAGAATGAAATTTCATGATTTCATAGCGGCTGAGGAAAGAAAACATGGCGAGGTAATTGCTTTAGTCTATTATGCCATCATTACCACTTGTTTTGATTATCATTAATGAGAAGATTGCTGCTCGGTGCACAAGTCTGGAGACTAAACTAAATGAGAGGATCAGATCGCTTGAGGGTGATGTGCAACAACTTAAGGAGAAACTTCTCACTGCTGAGAAGTCAGATGTGATGGGCTTGTGGGCCTAGGATTTGTTTTTTTTACAAGCTCATTGGTTCTCTTAAAGTTTTAAATTTATAAAACTCTAGTGTCTGCAAGTGCACAGATGTGCGTTGTAGGACTTAGGGTGTTGATCCACAGGGAGAATGTCTAATCTGGAAGAAACAAAAAACTGGAAAGTAAGCAAAGTCGTAAACTCATGGGGTTGGTATTTGTGGTTTTTTGGTTAAGAATCCTAAACTAAACCTAATCTAATATTCACAAGAAATAAGATGCAATGCAAATTAATTGTTAAAAGAATATCTTAAGCATATTGACTCAAACTATAGACTCTAAACTCATAGGTGGCGATTTATACTTCTCTGGTTTACTCTAATTGATGTCAAAGTATTTCCAATTAGCCTTCGGGCGATTTATCTTCATCTGTTTCTGGGATCTGCATGGAAATAGAATAGACATGTGTATGATTAACCAACTCTCACCATCTTAATCAACTAATCAATAAGATATGACAATTAACTCTCGCTCTCATGCTAGAAATAAGATCATGCATTAAATATTGAATTCGTCTGCTCACATCTTCTCTACAGGTATAATATGATCTTCGACACTCTAAAGACTGGATCGGACAAACTTTTACTCTGAATTACAAATGACTTAAAAGACAAGGAAGTGGATCGATGGGCCGCATAAAGGCTGCAGAAGACCTTTGATTTACCGATTCGATTCTGAGGATATTACTCACCTAAGAATCGGGTGTTTGAGAGATATGACACTCACAAACTAAGATGTTCAAAGAACAAATGATCTTACTTAGAAAGGTTTTTAGATAAAAGAAAGATAGTTTCTCAAATGAGATTACAAGAGAATATAAAGGAAAAGAAGAGAGTCTCGGCCATCAATAAACATGTCTAGGAAATACAATAAAATAAAATAACTACAAAAAGTAGTAAATAGAAATGGATTAAGTAAGGCATCCTCCGGATAATTCAAATCTAAGCAATTAGATGTCCGACTCGGTATGAGCTGTCTAAGTTGAATTTCAAATATCTTCACACGCTCCTCTTCTCTTGGCCGTCTCATTTGGGCTGAACTTAGTGGACCTTATTGAGAAGGTGATCCAATCTTGCCTCATTAAAAACCCATCACTAGAAAACCCATTGGGACAAAACTAGTGGTGGGGAAAAAGAGTAGAAGATTGGATCACAAGTCCACTAAGCTTCAAGGACTTGGATCACAACCAAAGTATTTGTGATGAACTCTTTTCCCTCTTGAGCCGAAGGTTGTGCTTGTCTTAGAACTCCTCCAACGGTCTCTTTAAGCTTCTTAGTCCTTGATCTTGTCATGGGACCATTCAGAATTACTAAAACCTCTTTTTGTTCAAGCTCTTGTTCCTCAGCTACAAGCTCTCCTTCCTCAGGTTCTAGCTCTATATTTCCAGTGCTCTCCATGATCATATCATCCCCCCCCCCTTCTAGAAAAGGATTTGACCTCAAATCTGGATCATCTGCATAAAAAGGAGCTAAGTCAGCAATATTAAAACTCGGACTCACTTTGTACTTACCTTTGAAATCAATATGATACGCATTATCATTGATCTTTTTTTGTGATCTTAAAAGGACCATCGACTCTTGGCATGAGCTTAGATTTCCTTTCAGCTGGAAATCTTTCCTTCCTCAAATGTACCCATACTAGATCTCCCACTTCAAAAGCTAGCTTGTGGAGACCTTTGTTGGCGTGTTTAACATAATGCTTTGTCTTCTCCTCAATATTAGTTCTAGTCTTCTCATTGATCTGCTTTACTAGTTCAGCCTTCTTTTTGCCATCTACACTTTCTCGTTCACTTAGAGGCAAAGGAGTTATATCCAAGGGAGATAAAGGGTTAAAACCATAGATAATTTGGAATGGAGAAAACTTAGAAGCATAATGAACAGAATGATTATATGCAAATTCTACATGCGGCAAACAATCCTCCCAAGTTTTGATATTCTTTTTAATCAAGGCACGTAACAATGTAGATAGAGTTCTATTAACTACTTTGGTTTGTCCATCAGTTTGGGGATGACAAGTAGTTGAGAAAAATAGTTTAGTGCCTAACTTAGACCACAGAGTCTTCCAAAAGAAGCTTAAGAAGGCATGCCATGCAATCTCACGATTTCTTTAAAGAACAAGTGAGCTAGATGCGATGCATCATCAGTTTTGTTGAATGCTATGAAATGTGCCATTTTAGAAAACTTATCAACTACAACAAACATTGAGTCCTTGCCGGTCCTACTCCTAGGCAATCCAAGCAAAAATTCCATAGATATGTCATTCCAAGGATGCAAGGGTATAGGAAAAGGGGTATACAAACCATGAGGCTTAAGTGTGGACTTAGCCTGTTTACATGTTGAGCATCTTGCACAAATCCTATCCACATATGTGGCCAATGAAAAATGATCTTGCATCACCTTCATGGTTTTAGCAACTCCAAAGTGTCCCATGAGGCCACCTCCATGTGCTTCTCTGACTAATAAGTTTCGAACAGAGCAGTTAGGAATACACAGGCGATTATCAAAAAAAAGAAATCCTTCTTGTCTAAAGTATCGGCCACTAGCAAATTTCTCACAGGATTGGTATATCTCTTTAAAATCAGCATCAGAGACATACATATGTTTTAATTGTTCAAAACCAATCAGCTTAGCATCAAAAATTGAGAGTAGAGTATACCTGCGAGACAATGCATCGGCTACAACATTGTCCTTACCTTGTACTTGATGACATAAGGAAATGTCTCAATGAACTCAACCCACCTGGCGTGTCGTTTGTTGAGCTTTTGCTGTCCCTTTAAGTGTTTAAGGGACTCGTGATCTGTGTGTATGACAAATTCCTAGGCCCACAAGTAATGCTGCCATGTCTGAAGGGCCCGAACTAAAGCATATAGTTCCTTGTCATAAGTTGGATAGTTTAAAGTGGATCCTCCGAGTTTTTCACTAAAGAAAGCTATAGGCTTCTTATCCTGCATCAAAACTGCACCAATGCCTATACCAGATGTGTCACATTCTATCTTAAATGTTTTAAAAAAATCAGGTAGAACAAGTAAAGGGGCATGGGTGAGCTTATCCTTTAAAACCGTAAAAGCTTCTTCTTGTGCTGTCTCCCACTTGAATCCTACTTCTTTTTTGATGATCTCGGTGAGAGGGGCAACTAGAGTACTGAAATCTTTGACAAACCTCCTATAAAAACCGGCGAGACCATGAAAAATCCTCACATCTCCAATGCTCTTAGGGGTAACCTTCTCCTCATCCACTTTGATGCCATCTGCACTCACAACAAATCCTAGAAACACAAGGTTATCTGTACAAAATGTGCACTTCTTCAAATTCGCATAAAATTTTTCTTTCCTAAGCACATCTAGCACAGATTTCAAATGATCAATATACTCTTCCAATTTTTTGCTATAAACTAGGATATTATCAAAATAGACGACTACAAAACTCCTATGAAGGCCCTAAGCACATGATTCATCAGTCTCATGAACGTAATAGGTGCGTTAGTTAACCCAAATGGCATAACAAGCCACTCATATAGCCCATGTTTGGTTTTAAATGCAGTTTTCCATTCATCCCATTCTTTCATTCTAATTTGATGATAGCCTCTTTTCAAATCTATCTTAGAGAAGATACTAGAGCCATGTAATTCATCTAGCATATCATCAAGCCTAGGAATGGGGTGTCGATACTTCACCGTGATATTGTTGATTGTCCTACAATCGACACACATGCGCCAACTCCCATCCTTTTTGGGCACAAGTAGCACAGGCACGGCACATGGACTCATACTTTCTCTGATATGACCCTTCTCCATTAGCTTATTCACCTGTCTTTGTAGTTCCTTGGTCTCCACTGGATTGATCCTATACGCAGGTCTATTTGGTAATGAAGCACCGGGCACAAAGTCGATTTGATGTTCTATGCCTCTAATGGGTGGTAACTCTTTCGGATTATCCTTAGGAAACACATCTTGATATACTTTCAATAGATCATTCATTTTACTCGGCAGAGCCGGTGCTAGGTTAGTAATACTTGCAAGTGCTTCTTTAAAAACAAATAAAAGAAAAGTTTGCTTGGAAATGAGAGCTTTCTTGACATCACTAGCCCTTAGAAAGAAGTTTGAAGATTTTTGGGGCAGCTTCTTCCTTTGCTTCATTTGGACTTGATCCTGGTATAGTTCTTGCGGTGTTAAAGGGATCAGTGTGATTTTCCTGCCATGGAAAGCAAAAGAATGCTTATTAGTAAAGCCATCATGTAAAACTTTTCTATTCGATTGCCACGGCCTCCCGATAAGAATATGTCCAGCCTCCATTGTTAGCACGTCACACAGAACTTCATCTTCATATTTTCCAATAGAAATGGGCACCAATACTTGATTTTGAACCTTCATTCCCCCAGTTTCGTTAAGCCATCGCAACTTGTAGGGTTTCGGGTGTTTGGTCATCTTTAGTCGAATCTTCTTGACCATTTCCTCACTAGCTACGTTAGTGCAGCTTCCTCCATCAACAATGAGGCTGAAAACTTTTCCTTGGACTACACAGCGAGTGTGAATTAAGTTTTCCCTCTGCTCTTGTTCTTTGTCCTTGCTTTGCATGTTTAATAATCTCCGAGCTACAAGTAAGTCTCTTCTAGCCGGAATAGTCTCATATTCCTCCTCAGATATTTCATGGTCCTCCGTTGGCTCTTCCTCTGACTCAATCTCTCCATTGTCTAAGAGTACTATTACTCTTTTGTTAGAGCACTTATTCGCCCTC